TGGTGGTGGTGGTGGTGATGCTGATGATGGTGAACCTGAATTGACTACGACGATGGTAATACTAATGTCGCGGATGGTGATGATAACGATGATGATGATGATGATGCGTCATCCTTATCCGCACCGTGCAAAGGGCAGGAACCCACCATCATCACTTTTCATCGTTGGGGCGCAATGTTACAAACGGGATTCAGTCGAGGCCTTCGCTTGAAGTCTTCGTGCTGTATGCTCCACCTGCAAAGTGACGCCGGGTTGTTCCCATATTCCATGTCGGGCTCCCAAGCCCTGAACCACCACACGTTGCTCCGGAAGCTTGATGCACCCCAAATGCCACGGTCTAGTATGGCGGAATCAATCGGATTGTACCAGGGCAGCGCCCAAGTGGCTGCAGCCTGGCTACTGGCGACGCGGCTCTGTTTTGGGATTTGGGCTGGTTTAGCATATACGGATTTTGGATGTGGGGTTAAAGTCTGCAAGCCTTATTTTTGAGCGCACGCCCGAAATCCCACGTCCATAGAACTTGCCAACACGTCTGAATACGTTTGGCAAGGATCTGCGCCTTGGCAGGTCATGGATTTGCTTGAGGCGCAAGCTGGCACCACTTGAGCCCCAAACTCCTAAACCAGAAACGCCGAACTTCCGCCAAACCTTCCCTAGCCTCCTGAAGACCAGTACAGAGTTTAGGGTCGTCTAGGTATGGGTGTCCAGCCCTAAACCCGCCCAGAAACCCAAACCCTGAAGCCGTACAAGCTCTGAGCCCCCAACCCCCAACACCCCTCCTAGAACCCTTAAACTAATAAGCCCTGCCTAGACAGCTTCTGAGGCCGCGCATGACGGCTCCGTCCTCCTCCTTGCTGAGGACGCACGCGGCCTAGTTTTTTCAAGAGCCGTAGGGGACGGGGGCAGGTTTTTGGTTGTTAGGCGGCTTGTAGTGATAGGGTTTGTGGTGGTTATATGGTCATGTAAGGTCAATCAAACCTGTTAGAGTTTTGTTCCAAGGGGTTTTCCCTAAATATGTCGTGTCAAACTACAAGCGCTAGACTGGCAATGCTGGTAACATGACAGAGTTGTTATCAGTTATCGGGTTTTTGGGATGGATGATTGGAATCGCAAACCTGAAAACCAGAAAATGTTGCATGACCCCCAGCCACAAGCCTGGACCCTAAGTCCTGACTGTCTGCGAAGCCTGACGCCAAGAGTCGTAGTTAGATCAGGGATGAAGGCGGCAATGACCCAGCCCCCAGCAGTCTGTTGACCGTGCTGTTCAGCGATCGGATTGTGGCAAACCCAACCCATGGCGTGGCTGGAAGCCCCTAGCCTACAAATCCTGAGAAATCACGGAACCGAAATTCGACATCTAGACTAAGAGCCCACCTGCTAAAATCCCAAAAGCCGATCAGGTGAAGAAGTCGATGGTCATCAAAGAGGCGCTGGCCTACCGAAAGGCCTGAGGGCACATCAGGGCTCGTTTGGCGGCTCTGAGTTACAAACAGGATAGATCGTAGGTTAATTGTGCGTTAATTGGTGGATTTTAAATAGACCTAATGCGCTAAGTCCCTTGATCCAATAACGAGGTTTCCATCAAATGCAAAAAGCAGGCAAAGCAGCTACCAGTTTTGCGCTTGAAGCCCTTGAAGGAAAAGCTCAAGAGTCGCCGCCCTGAGCCCGAAAGCCAGAAACCCTAAACTTACCTTTGGTTAGTAGGGAATGGAGGAATGGGAACTATTATAAGTACCATTACTACCATTCTTCCATTCCCTACTAACCAAAGGTAAGTAAACCCTAAACCCCCGAAGCCGCCAGGCCCTGCGCGGTGTGATCGAGGGTTTGGTTCCCGAGCAAAGGCAGACCATCCGGACCGAGATCAGGCGGGCGCGGACCGGGGGGGGTGGGGTTTGGAGTTTAGGGTGTGTAGGGTTTTTCAATGCAGCTGATGGACCCTAAACCCTAAACCCCTAAACCCCTAAATCCCTAAATCCCTAAATCCCTTACTCCCTAAACCCTTGAAGCACCAGGTTTTACTACTGACCCTGGCCACCCCTCGAGCTGCCCAGGGTCATGGAGTCCGAGGACGGCGGCCGTCCTCTAACGATCTGTGTGGCCTGCAGAGTGGATGCAGGTCCCTTCCCGCAGAATTCGTCGTCGTGTTCAGGCTTTCGGGGTGCTGGTAAACGACTTTAAACATAATTAAAAACTCAAGAACAAATTACAGCTGGGGTTGTGTAGAAGACTGGGCACACAGTGTCCAAGTGCGCCCATTCTTGAAATCCTGAGCTTGCAATACCTTGACCCTAAACCCAAAGCTTTGGGGGCCCGGAGGCATCTGCTACTGTTGTTACTGTTTCTACAACAGCAACGACGAAGGCCGCAGCGACGACGACTGTTGCTTTGTTTCCAGTACTGCTACCAGTGCTATTGCTGAGGATGAAACCATGATTGCAGCATCGTCGTCGGCCGTCGGGACGATGCGTCGACCGACGGAGCCAAGTGATTGTTGCAATATGCACGCACACGAAGGCCGCCAGCATGAGTAGCGACGGCCTAGAAGTTCGGGGGTCTGGGGTGCAGGGGTTGAGAGTTTCAATTGGAGTTTAGGGTTTCTGGTTTGGGTTACATCGTCCTGAGACCGCAGTAGATGGGTTTATTTCAGGTTGTTCATGGGGCGAAATTCGCAAAGCAGGGCTTCACAGCTTGCAATTCAGCAAAACAGCCAGAAGTCCTGTCGTTCAAAAGAGCCCCCAACCTCTGATCCCTTGGCCACATATCTCATGCCCTTGGAGCCCTCTGCGCCCCGAACCCCCTAAACCCTAAACCCTAAACCCTAAGCCCTAAGCCCTAAGCCCTAAGCCCTAAGCCCTAAACCCGAAACCTCTCTCTCCGAGTCGACTCCGATGGCAAAGATCTCGAGGGTGGGGCGCTGCTGGGCTTCGCTGTTCCTTGCCTCGACTCTTGATGCCGGTTGCAACCCCTAAGCCCGAAACCTCTAGAACCCAAGCCTGGTAACCCTGAACTAACAATACCCTCTAGCAAAGATATGGATAATCAACGGATCGTTCTTCCACCAGGCTTTCCAGGCTACAGGCTCTGTGTTTAGGGTCTGGGCGTCTCCGAAGGGAGGCTTGAGGGTTTTTGTTCTTAGTTTTCGGTGTTGTTCGGCTTTTCCATGCTGGTTTGTTGGGGATGTTTGGCTCCTTTGGCAGGGTTCGTCAAGCAGCTTGAGGCAATGAGCATCCACGCATGTCATGGTTATGATTCCTGGTGTCTTTGTGGTGATGGTGAGGATGATGTGCATCTTCATCCTCAGCCTCGTCGTCGTCGTCGTCGTCGTCGTCGTCATCACCATCATCATAACCATGATGAGCACCATCTTAATGATTATGGGCATCATCCTCATCATCATCATCATCATCATCGTCATCACCATCACCAGAGTTGTTGCTGTGTTTTGCTTGTTACAGCTGCATTGCTGTGATGACGATGGTGCTGACTAGCCGTTATCATTATCTTATCCAGTATGGTTTTCCATGCTTGCGCGGCTTCAGAAAGGCACCTCTGGCATCAGTGTCAAGGCCATGTGTGTTAAGAGGCCCGCTCACATCAGCCGACAACACAAAGCAACTTGGGTGCTCAACTCTGGCGTGTCTTCTCCCTGTAGGGCTTCTTTAGCAGCGGTCTCACCACTTTTGTTCTTAACCCTATTAGCAGCAGCATCGTAGTACACGTTGTGCTTCTTGCTTTCCCTTTGTGGTGTAGGATGCTGCAGTTGTCAACAATCGCAGTCATCGTGAGAAGCAGTTGTCTTGTTACCATTCAGTATCACCCCTAAACCCTAAGCCCCAGTGGAATGGCGTAGGACCAGCATCGTCATTTCGTTGTTTGTCACATGCTTGGAGTCGCTGTCCGTGTTATTGTCATGCCAGTCATGCTTCATATCGCTATGATGCCAGCTCTGACGGGCGTCCATCTGTTGTTCCGTAAGACTTTACGGTTCCTAGTGTTACTAACAAACATAACTATGTCATGTAGTACAGGGATGGGCAAGACTGTAAACATGCGCAATTTCCATCGGCATATGCTGTCCTTTCACTGGTATCCTGGCTCATGTATCGTCGCTTCGATATCTTTCGTCATTGCCACTTCTATTCGGAAGCCTGAGCAGTCTTGCGAGTTTGGGTCGCTGACCCCAAAACTCTGAGCCCTTAAAACGCTTTCTTCTCCGATTCATGGAGCGCCCTTAGTCCTCTCTAAACCCTCTACCTCAAACCCACGCGCCATCATGGAGGAAGACAAGAGCCACCCCCAAAGATTGAAACTCCCGAAGGCCCATTTCGAGAATCCGGAACCCTGATGGCTGTGAGGTTTTGAATCCGCACCCGGCAGGCTGGAGACTGAAGGAGTGTCTCTGTGTGTGTGTGTGCGTGCGTGTTTTATGTGTAATGCTTGGTATATGTATATGTATATGTGTATGTGCATGTGCAAGAAATGTATGTATTTCTGTATGTATGTATGCATGCATGCATGCATGCATGGATGAAAGTCTGTATGTCTTTATGCCTTTACGCCTGTCTGTATGTATGTATGCATGTATGTATGCATGTATGTATGCATGTATGTATGCATGTATGTATGTAGGCATGTAATATGCATGTAGCCAGCCAGCCAGCCAGCCAGCCAGCCAGCCAGCCAGCCAGCCAGCCAGCCAGCCAGCCGTCCATCCGTCCATCCATCTATCCATCCTTGTATACTGCGCTTCGGTGTGATGTTAGGTGCCCTTAGAGCTCGAGTCGCAGAATGCAGGTTCTGAGTTTCGGCTTCAGGGGTCTGACGATCAACTGAAATTCCTTGTTTAGGATTTAAGGGTTTGGGTGTTTTTTGGATGATTAACGCTTTAGGACGCTGAGTTAGGCAGGCGCGTCACTCTGAGGGTCTCAGGCGGCGGTTGGTGGGCACTGTGCGGGTGGATTACAGGACAGATTCAGGGCGCAGGAGGCACGGGGTTTGGGTCTCAAGTGCAGGATTTTGCAGTGTCGGGTTTGCAGATCTGCGGATCTGTGTGTTTTGTATCCTCCACCATGCATCCTCAGGGGCGGTGGCTTTTGAAGGCTCCACCTGCCTGCAACAGAGAGGACTGAGCGACCTGTCATTTCATATTTATGCTTGGGAAAGTCAGGACAATGAGAAGGTCACAACATGCAACAACCCGTGCATGTATCCTTCCCAGCAAGTTTCTGCATATGCTGACATATATAGTAGACAGGCACACGCAAACATGACGTAGATGCGTATATGCATATGTGCCATCATGTAGGGATGAGAACGCAAGGCTCGAGGCGAGACCCTGGTGATTGTCAATCCCTGCCTTCCGGACCCCAAGCTTGCAAGGTTCCCCTGAACCCTGCGTGGAGGTTCATTGGGAGGTTATGCGTTGGATTATATATACACACATTTTTGTAGGGTACCAAAATTATAGCCCATGTTCGGGGTCTTAGAACCTCCAAGTAAGCTGTAAGCCGAAGAGGCTGTGAGGAATCTCCTCATAAGAATTACCTATACAGTTCTCTTTTTGTTTTTTTTTGGCGGGGTCCCGTATTGGAGATATAGTGTAATATACCCTCAAAGCCCTATTTTAAGAGTTGAGGTCCCTTTCTTTTACAACTTCTGATTTCGGGGATCGAGGCTTTGCGGGTCCCCTTCGAGCTCGGCTGCAGCATGTCTGGAGTTGTAGCCCTTGGAATAGCTTAAGTGTAAGCAGGTCGGGATTGAAGGTCGGGATCGTGCAAACCTCACCACCTTTAATTTATGGCAGGATCTATTCTCCCAAAAGGCAGCGAAAGGGAGCCTGTGGCTTAGGAACCCTAAATCCTTAAACCCTAAACCCTAAACGCCCTAAACTAAACTCTAGGAGACACCCCTTCAGCTCCGTAGCTCGCTCCGAAGCTCGAACTCTGAATCTGCAAAAGCGGCTTAGGGTCCAGGAGCCCCAAAGAGTAGCCGCGGTGCCTCGCAGGAGCGGGAGACCGCACCATCTCCACAGGGGATCAGAAGGCAGGGAGCGCGAGAGGATTTCGGGGCACCGGCTTCTTACCACCTCTTCGAGGCCCATGGGTAGGTTATAAGTTGGGGTTATAAGTAGTGCAACTATAAATATGTCCCATCTTAGGGCACTGCCATGACCGGGGAAAAGAGAGGGGCACTTCTTTGTGAGCCGGCTTAGAGGTTTTGGGTTTCTGCTGTAGGATCCACAGCCCTCAAAAGCCACCAACATCTGAAGTGCCGAAGTACTGGCGCAACAGGTGGTCCTTCACGGTGATGGAACCTTGAACGACCCCCTGCACCTGGCACCCTACGAGGCCAGAGCACAGGGACTTGATGTTGGCAGGTTCAACTGCGCTGCCCGTGCCTCTAACCCCTAACTCTGGGACCGATGTCCCATCGAGGCGTGTGAAAGCGTATGTCAGCCGCATAAGCTCTCAGAGCCCGCTGGTTCGGGAGTTTGCATCTTCTGCGTGACAGCGGGGCGGAAGCAAGAAAGGCTTCGGTGAGTTTTGCGGCTCAGAGCCCTTAAAGCTCCCCCCGGCCCCCACAAAGGAGAAAAGAATGTCAACTCCAAAGGCCCTGAAACCCGACCTTCCAGGGTCCGAGTCTGTCTCGCAGTGCTGGGAGTAGTAGTCGCGATGTCGGTGGTGATGGTGCAGGATGTGGGTCCTGGCAGTCATCTCGGGTTAGTAGGAGTAGGAGCGGAGCAGGAGCAGGAGCAGAAGCATCTCCCTAAACCCCAAACCCTAAACCCTAAACCCTGAACCCTAAACCCTAAACCCCAGCAGCAGTAGCAAGCCCAGCTAGCAGCTGTTGTTTTGGCCTGAGCAGCAGGGCGCCTTCTTCCTCGCCGGCACATGAGACCCTCTGCTGGCTGAGGCCCCAGGAAAGGGGGGAATTAGGAGGGGTTTGGATAAAGTAGGGTCCCTGTTTAGGGTTTAGGGTTGAGGGTTTAGGGTAGGTGGGGTTTGTTGGCCTTTCGTCTTTCTCTTAGGGAGTTCTGAGTGCAGGGTTACTCGAAGCAGCCATTAGGTTGCCCCTTGGGGTATAGAGGCCGACCTGGGGGCGGCTTCGCCGGATCCTGTGTTGCTGTGGCTTTCGGCTCTTGGTGGGCTTCTTTCGTGCTGCGCGGCTTTGCAGATACG